CACTCCAGGTAACACTCACAGGGTACACACACACGCAACAGGTACACACACACCACACACACAGAACACACGCACACACAGACACACACAACAACACACCACACACACACCACACACACACACACACACACAGCACTACACACGACACCGATAATGATTCTTTCACAACAGGTGACACACACACACACACTCGATCAGGTACACACACACAGACAAAACAACAATGAACATCAGCACAGGTACATTTGTCTGTCACAGCAGGTACAATATCTGACCTACAGACGTTGAGATGTCACCACACACACAGGTACACAACACACACAGTTGTAGCAACACACAGGTACACACATATTTGTAATATACCTAAATGTGATGGACTTCAGAAAAATTATCTGCTCTTTCTTTTTTTTTTTTATTTTTTTTTTTGTGTTATTTTTTTTTTGGACGCACCAGACTACACACACAATTACACATCACTCTATCAGACAAATTATGGTCTTAATATGTATAAACTAACTCTGGGACAATTTGCATTTATCTGAACATGTTATGTTATAATTAATGAACCTGATATAAAAGATATTACAGCAACGCACACATATAAACTACACGATGATCACTCAGCAACAAGATAATCACAGCACACTCCACACCACATAAAGATTGCTGAACGGGTCTGCCGCACGTGCAAATACACACTCACTATCTCGACTAAGAACCACATATTAATATTAAGAGTTTTAGTCTCAAAGCACGGAAATAACAACCGCATAAACCTATTCAATATTTAAATCAAGCGAAACATACAATATACTAATCTATAATGAAGATACCTATTACTCGGGCCTGCATAAATATACGTATTGATAGTAGCTTTTAGAAGGATAACACACCTCCACAGCGCAATATCCATGCAAGCAGCTACACGATACACCATACCACGCACTCATCGACAGCATTCACGCTCCAGCGCACACACACACACAATACCAGATACCACCACACAACAGCACAGATACACACACACACACAATACACAAACTCATCAACAACACACTACACCAAGAGGTACACACATACACACACCCACACACAGCCACCACACCAACACACACCACACATACACATACACAAACACACACACACACGTCCTACATAGGGAGCATCCACACACCACACACACACACATCACCACACACACAGCACACACAACTGCACGATCACACAACGCTACAACACTCACACACACTCCACACACAATCATGCACCTCAAGAGACATAATACGCACCACGCACATGCACGACCTCACATTCGGGCAGTTAGAAGCATACGGAAAACACGCCCAGGGAGACACGAGCGGGATATACACCTTACAGCCATTGCATAAAAAAATATCACTCCATTTCTGTCGACCCACACGCCATCACTATCACATACCCACGGCACGCCCACAATAAGCAGCATGGGAAGACACAGTTGCTGCGTACTCCACCATCTGTCTCAGTCCTTTCACTTTCCACTATCTCCTACTCAATCCACCTCACTACCTCACCACCAACACATTCCAACCACACCCCACACAACACACACACAACATAGTCTCTGGTCACACTCGACACACTACTCTAGTCTATGCTACCACTCCATAGATCCACCTGCACCTCGTCTCTTGCTTCTCTGTCTCGTTCACTCTACCTCACATCACCCACTCACACACTACTCCGCTCACATCATCACACATCTCACCCTCCTCATTCACCACACCTCCTCCACATACACACCTCACATCCTCCAAAACGACCCTCCCACACACATATCACACGCCCACTCCACATCCACATACGACAGACACACAATTGCACACATACGCTCGTTCTGCCGTCACATGCACACAATTCTCACATTGCACACATATCTCTCATCTTTCTCTAACAATCTTCTCTGCTATGACTCTCTCCTCCCCGCCACCACACACACACATTGGCACACACAACTATTCGCACCACACACATGCACGACACACACATGCACACACACACATGCAACATACACAATGCACACACAACATGCACACACCACATGCACACACACGACATGCACACACACGCGTATTTAGTAGGAACATGCACATAGTTCACAAAGTCATCACACATGCAGCAGGCAGAGAAATGGGTGGATGTAGCATCGCACATGGCACCACAGACAACAATGCCGCACACACAGTTGCATCCACGGCACGATGGCGACACAACACAACAACAGAGGGAAGCGACATGGCACACACAGCACACATGGCACAGCACACACGACCATGCAATACACGATACACACACACATAGTCATGCACACACCACCACCATCACAGGACAGCAACAGGACAGACAGCACACACACACAATCACGCAGCAACGACAGCATCACAAATGGCGCACCACACACCATGCACACCACACACAGCATGCGCAAACGCACACGATGCAAGCCTTTGAACAGGACGGTATAACTCCGACGTATCGTAGACACTCAACCCTGCACGCACACACATGCACACACACACATGGACACACCTACACCATCTGCACCCACACACATGCCAACAGCGCAGGACGACAGCACATGGGCTTGGGGAAGCGCGGCGGGCAATGGGTGCACACACACACATGCGCCCAGTGCTAGGCAGCAGCGCGCGACAAATATTTCGACACACACATGCAGCACGAGCAAACTACACATCACACACACTCTCTCATCACATCTGGGCGCTGACGGCACACAGCGACATCATATCGAACGGGACGCACACGACTGCTATCAACAGCGTAGCACTCATGCGCACACTACATACAGTCATTCACGATAGCTACGAGCCAGCGACATGAGCTGGACGACACGCACACACCCATCACTGCAGCAGGACATCCGCAGCGCAGTGGCAGACACCATGGGCGTTCCGATGGGCGGTGCGTTGGAGGAGACAGATGGCGGGGTGATCCTAGTCGCTCGGGGGCTCGTGTCGTAATGATGCAGGCAGCTTGCGATCGCCATCCGGATCCTGTGGTGTGACTTCCTTCCTGTCTGAGTCCTCTTATCGGTATTCAAGCTCACCCACTCACACCGTCACCACATCTAAGGGAGAGAGGATTATCAGGTGGTGCTCAGCTCTTATCGGCACATGCAGCACACACACATACACACATCACACACACATACACACACACAAATCGCTCACCACACACACCATTCATGCCTGTGCAAATTCATCACACACACACACACACATTTTTCACTCACATCACAACAACACACACATACAGACAACACAAGAGAGCTACATACGAGCGACATGCACTACACAGTGCGCATCCCCACACACTTACATGCATACAACATCACCTATATCCTCACATCTCTCACACCACATTGCATACCTAACAGACGAACACCACACACTCTACTCAGCACCACATATAACACACCACATGCACACACACACAAGTTCAGCACACCATCATTATTCACATGCACACACAATTCACACACACTCGAAACACATGGCATACACACACCACTGATATCTCACACTTCCATGCCCATCATGCACCACACACACACACAGTGCAGTGCAGCACACACACCACTCCGCCATCAATTCGTCATAACAGCATGCACGACACCACACACACATGCACACCACACACACAGGCACATTGACACGACACAGGCGCTCACATGCAACACATCAGTACACATGCGAGCACAGTACATCACACAGTGACGGACACGGAACGACATGCACACACAGTGCCAGGAGCATCACATGCACACGCCCCAATCCCACAATGCACCACATCACAAGGGATATGCACACAACACCACATGCACACACATGCATCCAGTGCGAAACACGCACCAATGCAGCACTAACATATACTGCACACACACACACATGCCACACACCAAACACACACTCACAACCGACACACTTACCAACATCTAAGTGGCCAGTTTCCACAGCACACACACACACATTCACAACAGCATGAGGTACACGACACCTACTCAATCACTCACCGTACTTACACAGCACACACACCACACACACCACCAACACACATGCATGCACACACATGCAATGCCACAACTGGGTCACAATACTATTAGCCATCATACACACACGCCATCGTTCTTCTAGCACAGCACACATACACATATGAACACAAACACACACATGACGGACAACATATGGCAGCCACCGACATACACATATGCACACACTACTACACATATGGCACACAATTATCTTTGCTCCTGCTGGCGAACGGACATAACAGATATGCACACACAGAGGGTTTAGGACGTATGCACTCGACCACACACACTCACAAGGTTCACCACACGACTACACAACCATTAGCAATTATTTACACCACACCCACACATTATTGCACCAGCAACACATACTACACACAACAACACACACAGACACACACACAGCACATAACACACACACACAGCGCATGCGCGGATCCACTACTCGACAACACGCACACACACACACATTGTACATCACACAGCATGCTACAGACACAGCACACATCATATGGTACCAACAGCACATGCCACACACACAACATGCACACAACACGTTCACACAGCCCCATACAAGCACACCCAACATGGCGACCTCAGAACCTAGGCGACGCACACACTGGCCGGTACAGCCATCCACACACACATGCACACACACATGCACCACACACAAGCAACATGCAACACACTACACACACATGCAACACACACACACACATGCACACACAACCACATGTGACACACCAACACCACTACATGGATTCAGGGCCCACACACACACAACTGGACATAAACAACCACACATGGATCACACATCAGCACAATACACACATTGGCACACCAGCACACTACATTTGCACACCAACAGAATCACGAGTGGCACACACACCACGAATGACACACAACGCGC